CCTGGATTCTTGGTGGTTAACATGCTGGGATGATGATAATGATATCCCAATAATCCCCAAGAAAAATCCCCAAGAAACCATTGCTTCAGTCATGTTTTTAATAGGGATGAAACATGATGACACCACAGTGGAAGCATCCAATGAGTTGAACATATGGGGGATGAGATGACTGAGTCAACCGCTCTTCAGGATCTGGATATCCTTGAGCTCGGTGGAGACGTGCTGCCCAACTGAGACGTGCGGTTCACGTGCGACGTGGGTGGCTATTTTTCATGGGGATTTTTTGGTGGATTTCACCAACTCGAATGGATTAACTGAATTGCTGTTTAAGAAAAACTGCAGGAACCATTATAGCAAATTATAGCAGTTGATCCATTACTATAGCTATATGATCCATTATCGATTAACCATCTGGATTTGATTTATGACGTGAAATAGTTATAACTATGTGATATATACAACATGTGGAACCGACTATGGAGTTATGATGATATATAAACTTACATAAACTAGATCTAACTATATCTAACTATCACATTTGGTATCTAACCAACTCTCATAAAACTGTGGAATATCACCAACTATGGGGACGGCCATCAGCGCCTCATCCCAGGTTGTGGCAGCCCCCGAGTCTCCTTGACGGACGAGTGCAGTCCTACAGTCCCTCGGTTTTTATTTTTTTTCAGGGTCGCTGGTGGACCAACTGAGCATTTTTTGGATGGTTTATACCATTTTATACCCATAAAAATGGTATTTATGATGGTTTTATGATGGTTTTATGATGGTTTATACCCATCCCATTGATGGTTTTTGCTGGTCATTGGATGGTTCTTATTGTTGGGTTTACCACAGAAAAACATATTGAAAACCTCTTGTCCAGGAACCGTTCCCCGATGTTTATGACATGGTTAAGATTGGTTCAGTTAAAAAAACAAAACAGGTCAATCCACCCAATTCTGTTAGTAAGCTAATATACTTGGAATCCCCCCCAAAAATGTCGCCCAAATTATAGGCCAAACATCTTCCCAACCTTCTTGGCACCATTTCCCCACTAAGTCTCCGTCCCCCAACGGTGTCGCGTGCCAGGTGTTCACCTTTCGACGGATGCGGCGGGCAGCATTCAGTCGCAGATCAGCAGCGTGGCGGTGGGAAGCAACACGGTGCCTGGGCCAAGGGATGGGCAACGGGAACCCAACGGGAACGCAACCCTCGGCGTCCTTGGGCATCCTTCGGCATCAACCTGGGATGGTAACCTGGTAACCCAAACGGAATGTCACCGTCCATCAGAAGCCCCCTGGGGAGACTCGGCTTTCGCGTCTCGGCTTTTCGAGCTGAGACCCATGGCTGGAGAATTTCACCCACTGAAATCATTGGGTCGTCATCAACCCATCAATTTTTATGGTCTGGAGATATCTGCAGATCAGGTGCAAATTGCTGCAGAGACGCCGTTGGAGAACTTCCGATATCTGACGGTCTATTCGGTGTCAGCACTTGAGGCCGCGGGGTAATTTTGGCGGCTGTTTTCTGATGTGTTGATGGATATCTTATGATATCTTGCTATGGTCAAGGGGTGAAGGGGTTAGTAGTTTATTGGGTTCAAAACTGTTCAAAACATGGAATATTAGTCAGCAAGGATCAGCAAGGAATAGATCCCAGGTCCTAAGAACTCAAGGTGTGATGCCAGTAGGATAGCATAGACCTAGGCTGATGTGTGCCTCCACTGTTTAGCTCGGAACCACAAACTCAGAGTTGGACAGATATGCCAGGCTTATCAAATTTATATAAGTTGTTGCCTTTTTGCAAGCTAGTCAGATTTTTTGAGAACATATCACCCATTACTTCAACTGATATGTTTCCCATTGAACTATTGGAAATTGCCATTTCATCAACCAATGATTACCTGATATCCCATGAGATTGAATCATCATTGTATCCCAGTAATATCCCAGTCATATCCCATGAATATCATACTTTCTTATACTTTCTTGATTACGTTGGCCATATCTATTCGACTATATCCATGATTAGGCATTCCATTGGGTTGATGTTTTTTTCAACAAATTTCACCCACATGGCTTTGTCTGAAAATAGGGTACCATCAAAAAAAAAGTCATCTTTAAGAGGTCTACAGGCACATGTTTAGACACACTCCAACTGTAAAAAATTGTTGGTGATGTCCAAAAAATCCAATAAACATCTTCCATAGCATATCCATCAACAAATGATGATTAAATCCCTACATATCCCAAGATTCCCATGACCCCATGAAATCCCCACGGGTGAAAATCACCATGTTTGATGGTTAAATCTCAGGATATTCCATGATATTCCCATGCTTGGTATATTCCCCAAACAAATGGTATGAGATAATCCCATATGTTAACAATCGTCACTATATGTCAGTATTATATAATTATATAGTATATACTTATATCTTCCTGTTAGCGTTCTTATTTTCTCTTTCTTATACCATATTATATATCAAATTATATCATATGTTGGCTGTACATCCCAATTTCAGGAGGCAAAAAAATCATGTCAACTGCCTATTTTTTGATAGTGAACCCATCGAAATAAACGCCAGGCCCAGACTACTCCAGTGGCCTTGCTGATTGACGACGCTGACGCCACTGCGGCGCGGCTGATGGACATGTCTTTTTCAAACATGGAGGTTTATACTGGAATTACGTGTGATAATGTGGGGAATTCCATAGAATTATGATGATGATGATGATTATTATTATGATTATGATGATTATGATGATGATGTGGATCATGATACTATAATTTGATGGTTTGACTGGGGAACATTGGACATATGATAAATATGTGTGCGTTGGAATAGGAGATAGCCCCCACCAACTTATGGCAGTCGGGAAGGTGATCCAAAGTTTGGACTCGGCTGAGAGACAGTTGTTGGTTTCGAAAGATCGTTGACAATACGTAAATATTATCAATAAGTTGTTTGGGAAATATAAGTACTTGTAGTTACGTGTACTTATACTTGGGAATACGTAAGTCTTATATTCCCCATTTCAACCCAACAGAATTCACCAAGTTCTTTGGCACCAACTGGGAAACCTACCTTGCTGAGGTGGTGAATTTGACCTTCCCAGAGTGCGATTTGGACGCTCATGAACTGGGAGGACGGGGGAATCCGCCGCAGTTTTAACTCTGGGGAATCGCTTTACCCTCTGGTAAACATACAAAAAGCTATTGAACATGGCCCATAGAAATAGTTGATTTATCCATTAAAAATGGTGATTTTCAATAGCTATGTTAGTCATTACCAGAGGGTATCTATAGTAAGGTGAGGTGGTGTGGTGTATGGTGTAGTGTGATTGCCATGGCTGATATTTTCTGTAGTGTTTTTTGCACTGCAATGTAGTGATGCAATCTATATCTATATATACCCTATGGTAAATAAACATAGACCCTGAAAATGACCAATTTTTAGTGGAAACTAATCTTCCAACCCCTATCTGGCAGGGTCTATGTTAATTTACTGGAGGGTATATATATATATATTTCATGAACACGTAGCTGGATACATTTTACGCACATGTCCAGTGTGTTTTTTTCCTGGCCCACAATGCCCAATGGTCATTGTGGGCTTTCCGGTATCCTCGAAGTTGCGTGGCAACGAAGACTGGTGAATCCAAATCGATTCTAGGTTTGATTGGCAAGAACCATCTTCAATTGCATCCTACCATGGTTACCCATCCAGATATTGAATTATTGGTGTTTCAAACCAGATTGATAACCATAAAACCAGCTTTTCTGATGCTTGAAATCCAGCAATATCTGTGTTTTCATTGGATAAAACGGTTGCACATCGTTGCGAGATTGGTTCCCCATCCATGGCCCCATGGCAGGAGTGTTGACCTGGGAAGCGCCCGATGATGTAACGGAGGCGAGGGATGCAAGGGGGTTGTTTAACATCAAGTTAAACACAGTGATAGTACATGATAATAAATGGCTGGTTGGTGGTTTGGAACATGTTTTTCCTCCATATATTGGGAATAATCTCCCAACTGACTAATATTTTTCAAATGTGTTGAAACCACCAACCAGTGGCGATGAACACACTGTGATTAGTTGTTCATATTTAGTACATGATAGTCACTAATTATGATTACATGATAGTACTAAATAGTGATTGTAATCATAATTAGTGATTATTGTTAACTATTAGTGATTCCAATAGTAACTATATTTATGTTGGTACTAATTAGTGATTAGGATTTTTATAATTACGCTGACTGACTACGTGTTACAAAACATGAATAGTCAAGATATTATTAGCACATAGTCATCATAGTAATCAAATTTCTTTTGATGATTAAACACTGTTTCATTAGATCATGAAACATCAAAATACTGTTGGAACTTTACATGTAAAGATGTTGTGAAATGACGATTCTCGGATGAACTGTAAAGCAACTACAGGTCTTCATAGGTCTTCAAAACAGCGATGGTAAATTTTGTTCTTACCGGTCTTGGGTGGTTCCAGATGGTGTATATATATATATAAGAGAATCCAATCATAACATATCAGTCATCCCATTACATCAGCATGTCAGAAAGCTGGTGGAGGAGCACTGCTAGTTGTCTCCAATGCAGACATTTTTGTCAATGTAGAAAGCTTTTGCGAAGGTTGAAGGTTTGGGACGTGTTTGGTCTTGCTACATCCGATGGGCCAAACTAAGTCTATTTTTCAATAGATATAGATGGTATAGTGCAACGATCCTGGAGAGAATAAATCCCTCCAATGATTTGCGCTTGGGAAGAAAGATGAAGGATATCCCTGGATCCATACCTGAAAAATCCTGAATATTTCTCATCATTTCCAACATATTTGATCGTGAAATCCCCATGAAATCCCCCATGAAATCACCAGGAAATTCCCATGAAATCCGCATGTTTGATAGTTGGATCCCCATCTTATCATCTCCATCCGATGGCCTTCATCCCTGACTCGACGTGTGACCGGAGCAACTGAAGGTGACCAATTACCTGGTCTATCTGGCCATGTCGGTCCAAAGCTCAGGAATTTACCTGGTTGTTCAACATGTTGATTTCCTAATTTTGGATATGATTAACATATTTAACATGTCGATATCCAAAATCTATCTGGCTTTACTAATTTTGGATATGATTTCAGAGTATTGAAGAATCTTAAACATGGTTTCCACCGGATAATGCCTCCAACTATAGTTGAAATTTTGGATGATTTTGGCACTCAGAAAACTTGGAGTCCCTGAAATTTTGGATGACAAATGATGTGCCGAAATGCGGGCCCAAAGTGACCCCCACATCTGGGGGCCCAAAGAAATTCTTGAAATTCGACCCACATCTGTTGCGAGTTTTCTGCAAAATTTTCCCTGAAAAACCCATGATTGGGAAATTGGTGCTATGATTTCTTTTAGCCATTTTAAGCCATACAATGTCACGGCAAGTCACGGCCCATCAAGCGAAGACTGAGGCCGCGGCGACCTGCTACGGCTACGACGACGTGGCCAGCACCGCTCCCTACGTCGTGGGGCTGCAGGATACCAAGAGTGGCTGGTGCCGCATGAGGTCCGCCATCAACCCGTTGCTCGGTTGCAGGGCTAAGCTGTGAACGGAGTTTTTTTTAAGACACATGCAATCTTGGTGCTGGAACATAGACACTAAATTACTCATTACATCTACTGTAATTAGATCATAAATCCACAGATATCATAGTTCGATATATTTCACTATAATTTGTATCATCGAAATTCATCATACATTATAGTAGTCTATGGATGTATATGGTAAAGCTATGCATATCATAAACTACACAGATATCATATATCATAAGCTATATATATATATATATATATGTACGTACGTATATATATATACATACGTATATATATATACATACGTATATATATATATATACATACGTACATATATATATATATATACATACGTACATATATATATACAATACGTATATATAACAATTTATACATATCATAAACTGTATATATTATGTCATACATTATATCTGGGGTTCCCGCACAGTATCATGGCTCGGATATTGCCAAGTCGAGGCTTGGGAATCAATCTGTGACACTGCCAGCGGAATCTTGGACAGATTATTGTTGGAGCGGGCACTGTTGGAACACATGGATTTTATACCATTTTTGCACTTGTCAATGGATTGGTTTAAGGGAAAATCTACAGGAAACCATGGTTTTTACCATGAAATATAGGGGTTTCCTGTAAAATTTCCCGTCATCCAATTCTGTGAACTTGGTAATATTACAAGTTGTATATAATTGAATATAAGTTTACGTTGATTTTCACAGTTGATTTTAGATTTTACCAAGAAACACCGGGGATGCAACCAACACTCCTGTTCTTGAACACTGGATTCATTCTGATTCATTCGTTATGTCGGGTCATGAACCATTCAACAATGGGGTACCCTGCGTGAATCGCAGATCAACGGGGCCGCACCAAGGATACGCAATTGTTGAACCTGACGCATTGGTTGGTCTATTCGAGTTCCTCCTTGGCAGAACAAAGCACGCCGGCCACGGTGCTCATTGAGGCGCGGTGCTCAAAAATGCTGAGATGTGTAACTGAACTGAACACTGAACTCAATAACACTATCTATTCAATAGAATCCAATTGACATTCATTTGGTGAATCCCGAACATCAATTGGTTTCTACTTTTGCGAATATTAATGTAATACCACACTTTTTTTCATATCAAATACTCTCTGGGAATTTTAAGAGCGCTATGCAGAATCGCCATTATTCATGAAAGTAAATCATCTAAGTATACCATAGCTAAGGAGAACTATTACCCATTTCTTCCATATCAAATACCAACAGAACATCAATGGAACCATTATATATATAATAATTGCCATTATAAATCACCATTAGATCACCATTAAATCACCATTAAACATCACCATCTTTGTTGGTTAAACGCTTCAACAACCCATTGAACCACCGTTGCCGTAGAGCAGCCAGCAGGACCACAATGCCACGGTGGGGACCATCAGCTTTGTCGGGACGGATCTGAATATGGACGTGGCCTGGTTGGGAAATGGACCATGGCAGCCATGGGAACCATAGGAAAATCCATAGGGGAAGATATGAATGTTAAGATACGGGAGAAACAATGGAAGACTATGGATTGACCAATTTAAGGGAAACAATTTGGAGTTAATGAAGCTGGATGAATACCAAATATCTAACCCATGAAGATGATGGAGTTGTCTCTTGGGTTATTTCAAGATTAGAAACACCTTTCTTTCTGTTGGATGCGACGATAGCCAAGATTAGCCAAAGGGGCCTTTTGTGCTTTTGATTTGTTTTGATTTGATAGGTGATTGGGCTGAATAAATCTGGATAATCCAAGGTGATCAAACCACATCACTTTCAGATAATACTTTCTGAATATAATAAAGGCTGAATACTATTTCTGAATAATAACCACATAACCCAGTATTATAGAATACAATAAAGTGATCTGAATAATACTTTCTCCACATCACTTTGGTGTATTTGATGGCTGGAAGTTTTGGGAAACACTTCGTGACTGTGACTTCGTGACAGTCACAAATCACGGTTTACCTGGGTTTGAGCGAAACATATCGAAACCAAACAGCCACAGATTTGGTTATCATATTATGAAGGTAATCACTCTCAATATCAGCTATTTACCCTCTGGTAAATAACATAGACCCTGAAAATAGTCATTGTTTAGTTGAAACTAATTAATCTTCCAACCCCTGTCTGCCAGGGTCTATGTTAATTTACTAAAGGGTAATTCATTTCGTTCATTTCTGACGATACAATTGGGGCAGCATTCAGGGTTTCATGCCCACCTTTTCCGAGCTTCCACTCAGGTGGTAAATGGCAGCCTAGTTTGGCAAGAACCCGCAGACCTTCATTGCTTGGAGACCTTTGTGCCGTGGTCGAACAGGGCTGTCAATTTCAGCATCTAGCATGGATTACCATGGTTTCGGAAATGGGTGGGATGGGAGTACTTGGATGCATAGGGATGCAGATTCTTTCGTACCAGTAAAGAGATGTTTTTTTTTGAGCAAATGGATGGGATGCTCTGAATCCGGAGTAATGAATGGATTGTCCAGTTGCGAAGTGGGATGCACATCCAAAGTATAGTAAAGCTTGAAGATAGAAGGTAAGACTAAGATGACTAAGTTGCCACCATTTTAGCACCATTTACCCACTATTTACCCACTATTATTTGATTTTTGTTGGGACGATGTGACAGGGATGTGATGTTCCGTTCTCCCAAAACGCCCAGATTTCAGGTGGTGTACATTGCCGCGGATGCCTTTGGAACGGGCCGATCTCTGTTGGGCGAGAGCCCTGTGGGCAGCAACCAGTTGGAGGCACCAATTCATGGTGCAGGGTGCTGTGGCAACGGGGTTGGTTGGAACCCTCGGACGGTGAAGTGGCCAAAGTGAAGGACCTATCCACTGTTGACCATTTTAGGAAGAGACCATATCAATGTTGAAGCAATGTGTTAGCGCCCCTAAGATTCCCTAACTACAAAACCCATTGCACCACTTTGCAAACTAACATGTTCATACATTTTCCATGGGAACACCATTGAACTCCAGGATCAGTCGATGAAAGGAACTTTCTTCCACCTGTCCTTGGGTTGAAAGGAACACCGGTCGCCCTCTCCCTCGCCCATCGCCCTAGATTTGGGTGAAACCACGCCACCGTAAATTCTCAGGTTTAGCAACTCCCAAACAGAATCAAAAAGATAGAACAGTCATTTACTATCTTACAGTCATTTATAACTGATATAACAGTCATTTACCACAATTTTAGCAGGACTTCACTTTCCTATCTTTTTGTAGGTGTCGTCATGTGTCGTCCTATATCTATCCATGATCAATCCGACCGGCAAAAGCCGACCTCTTTGCCACAGATCGTGGAGGGCGATGCCTATGGTGCAGCTTGGAGAAGCCGTTGGGAAGATGACCGGATAGGATCATATCAACAAAACATTGAGATGGAAATAGGATATGGAAATATCATGAAATATATCAACATATCCCATATCAATGGAATAGGATCACACAAAACATTGAGATGTGATATGATGTGATATGATGTGATATGATGTGATATGTCTATTTCTGTCCACCACAACACTGGTTTCTCTATTTTTTAAATTAACCAAATCATCATGTTTGTTGCTTCCACACCAAGCTGTGTAGCATCAATTCCCAGCGGTTGCTGGTGACGGCTCCCAGGGGTCCCATCATCACACGGTGAGGCCCCTGATGACGGAATCGCGTCAAGTTGATGCACATAACTTGGTGAATTCTATGGTTAGTTGGATGATATGCAGCATAATATTAAGTTGGTGTATAATGGGATTTATACAGTTAATGTATACAGTTGGTGTATAATCCCGTTTCACATCCATTAATGGTGTATAACTTTTATGTAAATCCAGTTAATGGGATTTATACACCAACTTAATACTAACTTATAACTGGGCCTCACCTTGCCGGGAGTTTGTTGGGTGTCCGTTTGTTGGTTTGTCGTTGTTGCCTTTTTTTTAATGGTCCATGGTATGGTTGCTGCCTAAGAAGCAATGTTTGTTGCCTCTCACATAATGTGGATTTTACACTTTACACCCTTTGGTTTTACTTCAACCTTTGCTGGTAAAACCTTGAGAATTTGCTAGCTAAAGCTAAACCTCCAATGTTTATTGATTTTACACCCATCGTTCTTTGCAAAACACAATATTTTCCAGATCAAACTTTTTTTTCCAAATCCATCCAGGATTCCTATGGGATTGGTAACCATACGGCCAAACACATCGTCTTGCCCGCGCCTGTTGGCCCGCCTTCTTCGTATGAGCTGAAAACGCAGTATATAAACATTGGATATTTTAGAATTTTAGCAATATGGTTGACTTAATGTTCTAGATCAGAACACACTGCATAGGGACCTGTGCGGCTTCGTTCCACATCATCATCATCATCATCATCATCATCATCATCATCAACATCAACATCAACATCAACATCATCATCAACATCAACAACATCCACACATCATCTAACATTATCATCATGATTATGATGATGATGATCATCATCATCAACACAAAACCCAGAGATCCGATGAGAGCCGTGATTTTTCCCAAGTCAAGGGGGCGATCACGGTGCCAAGGGCTATAGCCACTTTGTGGTCTACACCAAGAGTAGTTTTGTGGAGCAATCCACGCCCAACAGCCTCTCTTTCGCGGAAGCAACGGCCAAGTACCAGGCGGCCAAGTAGGGCCTCTTGAAATGGTGGCTGAATGGAAAAAAATATGGAGGTGGAAATGAATATTACCATCTGGTTATGACTAACAGTTCGCCATGTTTTTTCGATGGCCCTAATCGAAATAGATGGTTTACCTAGCTATACAATGGTGGATCTTTCCATGGCGAACTGTTAGTCATAACCAGATGGTAATGATCGTACCATCAGAGACCGTTTAAGAATTGGTGTATTGCCAGCAGGGAGGGGACCATACCCTTCGTGCTGGGTAGAAATCTCACATTTTTAGTTGGTTAAACTTTTAAACCATATGTAAAACATATTGTCCCACTATAATGTTACCTTGATGATAGTTAGAATATTCAAAAAATGTTTGAAAGTATTCCACATCACAGCTCTTGTCGATCAACACTTGATAGACACGATATAGTTTTTGATTGACGATTAGGATTCCATAAAATCCAGCCGTTTATGCCATCAAAACCCATCAAGAATCTCGTTTTTTTTTTGTCCGTCAAAGTCAATAAAACTACCACAACATCTTCATGACAAACTCCATACATTCACGACGAAAAACTCCATAAATTTCGCCATTTTTCTACTTGGTGGTTCACCCCCAACCCCAGTTGTAGGTCGGCGAACTATGTTTGTCCAGTTGTAGTTAGTCAGACTTGGGGTGTTGTTTTTTCCACTTACCAACTGGCTTCCAACTGGCTTGAACTACCGTTCGTATCCCCAAAATAATCACAGTAAAATCTTCATATCCTATAAATTCACCATACAATTCATCCATCGAATTCCACCGTGTTTTTCTATACCCAAAGCTTTGATAAAACACCTATCAAAACATGTAAAAACACTTGTCAGCCCCTAAAAAGCCTGTAGATAACTAGAGAGACATATCATAACATCTAGACATCCAATTAAAACAATTGCAGGTGTTAAAAACCCTCTCAACATCTATGAAAACCTCTTAAAAACCAATAAACACATCTAAAGACTATAAACACCTATTAAAAACAACAAACTCTAAAAACCTCTTAAAACCCAATGAGCACCTCTAAACAACCTAAAATAAGCCCAATAAAAACACCTACAACTCCCCAAAAAGCTATGAACATCTCATAAAAAGCATCTATAAAACCACTATCCAAAATCCCATCAAAATCCCATCCCTGTTAAAAATGCCAGGTCTCCTCCCCCGCTTTCACGGACCTGGACCTGGACGCCAGCGAGCTGGGCGGCAGCGTCAGCTGGGAGCCGCCACAGGTGACGACCACGGTGACGGGCTACCGGCTGTACCTGGCCGAGGAGTCGCCGCGTTGCCGGGGCATGAAACCTGTGGGGAAAATGCGGGATTTGAGCCGGAACCACCCCGAAAAATTGGGTTTATTTTTCCGTGAAACCTCTGGAACAATTGAGAAAACTCAAAAAGAAACAACTCGGAGTTGATGATCAAAAATGGGAGGTTTTCCGCAGGAGTTTTACTGTGACAAGTTGGGATTTCACAACGGGACAACATGGTGCTTTGGAATATGGGACTTCTTAGGGACGCTTGAGTTTCGCAAAGGGTTGGCGAATGGCGAATTACCAGGTGAAATTTAGAAAAACATCTGATGCATCTGCTTGGCGACTATAAGTGCGACAACTTGAAGGTGCTTTTTGCTAGCAAACACACTTTCATTCGATCGATTTAAAGAATGGTGATACTGTAGAATATGAATTTGACTTTCTCAATCGGATTGACAAAAGGTTGATATCTGACTCACAAAGGCTGTCAATTTTCTATCATCATCCAACACTCGTGTTTTTGTTGGTGGCTGACGGTGCAATTTACATGCAATTCTACGGACCTTAGGTTGTCAGATCAGTTGCAAGTGGTTTTGTAGCCAGAGCTGGACGTCTTTAGCTTGCACTCATCATTTATCCCATACATTTTGGGTCATAGACATATTTGTTGCATTCAATTTCGAAGTTCTTTGGATTGATTTAAGGCTAAGGGAAAGTCTAGAGGAAACTGTTGGTTTTTACATGGTTTTTACCATCAAATATAAGGCTTTCCGGTTTTTTCCAAGGCCCTTCTTAGGACGTAGCCAGCCGCTGCGAGGACGTCAACGGTACCAACAAGACGCTCTTGGGAGAACAAGTGAAAGGTGCGCAGCTGCCGAAAGCGCTGACTCGAAGGGATGGGTCCCGACAAAAGGACACAACTTGTGTAGCCCCTCAAAAGAAAATGGAATATCATAGAATATCATGGAATATCATGGAAAATGATGGAATATCATGGAAAAGTATGGAATATCATGGAATATCATGGAATATCATGGAATATCATGGAATATCATGGAAAATGATGGAATATCATGGAAAAGTATGGAATATCATGGAATATCATGGAATATCATGGAATATCATGGAATATCATGGAAAATGATGGAATATCATGGAAAAGTATGGAATATCATGGAATATCATGGAATATGATGGAATATCATGGAAAATGATGGAATATCATGGAATATCATGGAATATCATGGAAAATGATGGAATATCATGGAATATCATAGAATATCATGGAATATCATGCAATATCATGGAATATCATGGAATATCATGGAATATCATGGAATATGATGAAATAATCATGGAATATCATGGAATATCATGGAAAATGATGGAATATCATGGAATATCATGAAATATGGAATATCATGGAAAATGATCGAATATCATGGAATATCATGGAATATCATGGAAAATGATGGAATATCATGGAATATCATGGAATATCATGGAATATCATGGAATATGAAGAAATAATCATGGAATATCATGGAATATCATGGAAAATGATGGAATATCATGGAATATCATGGAATATCATGGAAAATGATGGAATATCTTGAATTTTCATAGAATATCATGGCATATGATGGAATATCATGGAATATCATGGAATATCATGGAATATCATGGAAAATGATGGAATATCATGGAAAATGATGGAATATCATGGAAAATGATGGAATATCATGGAATATCATGGAATATCATGGAATATCATGGAAAATGATGGAATATCATGGAATATCATGGAATA